TGCTGAACCAATCCACAATCCTGGATATCTCCTACTTTCAGTCCAGGTAGGGAGAACCAGCATGACTTCCTTTATTGTGCCACATACAATTTTTTTATTTATAAATCAGAGCTTCATCCTTGAAATAATCAATAGAAGACATTAACCATCTTGAAGGTTTCAAAAATTAAAACTCGGAGACATCATAGTGTTGGATTCAAGTTCAAAATTATTAGATAAATATGAGAATGCGAAGGGGGTCTAATGAATCTTCAAACGGTTGAAGATTTTTTTTTTCTTTTTTAAGAAAGTAATAAGCAATTCAATAATTTATTAAAGATAATTAAACAACATTCAAGCAAGAAAATGGAATACGAGGAAATGAAATAAAACTATTGCAACTTATTGCTCGATTTGGAGTTCTTAATCATATCTTTATTTGAAAGCATATTTCATTTCTTTCATTTATTCCCAATATCCACACAAAGCCCAAAATTAAGACAAGAACATAGTCTTAGGCGGTGTTTGGGTGCGACTTAGATTGACGTTAAACATGATTTATCAAATCCGCCTCATAGGGGATTTATCTAACCTCGCGAGTGAAGACAGAGAAGAAAAGCGACATCCCGTAAATTTGTCTCATAGTTGGATTTAATAAATCCGGATTCACGTTGTAAAGCAGAAAAAACATTAAGAAATCAACGGAACGCGAGAAATTTCAAATTAATGGAGCATTGGATTTAGTTTCTTTTTTTTTTCTCTTTTTTATGTTTGACGGGAATTAAGTTAAATCCAAGACTAAATCCTGTAAATAGTATGCTACCAAACACCCCCTCAGGTGTTCTGAACTTAGTTTATAAAGTCTGCAGCACTAGGTTGTGGTCCTTTTTCCAACATGATTCCCAAAATTTAACTAAAAAAGCACCATCTGCTTAGTTAACAATATCAAAAACTCGTTCTATACAACTCACGGGAATTCATGCGCTGTGAGATCAATTGTTAAAAGCAATACGACTATGGTTTATTATGAAATCATGCAATACGACTAAAACTTTAAAATAAAGAGCAGATCATGTTCTCCAAGAACAAGCAAGCCAATAGCCTTAAACATCCCACAAATATGGAAAAAAAATTGCAACCAAACACCCGCTATCTCAAAAATCACCTTGGTTCTCAGGAACTGATACTACGATTTCCCTCACCACCTCACGCCGACCTGAGCCGCCATCGGATTGCGACCCCTGGGGTTCATCAGAATCAAACTTCGGAGGAGGGGAGTCCCTCAAAAAGGCTCGAGCGGCAGAAATAGCAGCAGAAGCGCGATCAATGACCTGCAACCGCTGCACGCGATCTCTTTCCTCTTTGGGAACATCAAGAATCTTCCTGAAAAGTTCTGTCTTCTGCTCCACCGTCTCTTTGCTTTCCGCCGGCACATCCGGCAGCTCCCGGCCCCCGTCGGCTAGTTTAATGAATTCACGTGACTTCTGCTCTCGCTCCACAGCCTTTTTCCACATATCGAGGTACGATTCACCCACATCGGAGGATGGAGTGGGAGAAGCACGGAGTACGGAGCGATTAAACCTCGCTTCGAGAAAGCGCCGGGAGTAAAACGGGGGCCGAAGCAAGTTAAGCAGCGCAGAGGCGGCGGTAGAATGTGCCGACATGTCGTCGTCGCCGGCGACGAGGGGGACAGGTTCGTCGGGGAGAGCGCAGACGCAGTGAGCTGCCAATCACGAGGCGCGCGATGGAGGAGAAGCGGTGTTATGGAAATTAAAACAAATGGCGCATTTTTCTCTCCTATATAGCTTAAGATGCTTATCATGTAAAAATCAAATTTTAATTATTGGGTGCTATTTATGTAAATTTTTCATGGACATTTACATACATACCACTCATTTCCCATGTATTTACATATCATAACACTTTCAAAAAAAAAAAATTGTTTACATTTCTAGCATCTAAATTTTTTTATGGTCTCAAAAATATTATTATTTCAACTTTTAAAAATATAATGTATATTTTTATACATAAACATAACTTTTTAGTACATAATTTTGTGTTTACAAAATATAATGCAACAAATGGGTTAATAATTTTTATTAGGGTGTGTTTGGGGGAGCTTATTTACAGCGGTGTTTGGAAAATGTGCTTCTGATGCGTTTTTAAATACGTCGCTTGGCCTTTAATATCAGACGTGGATCGCGGGTAGGAACCCAAGATCCATGTTTCATAGAAGCGGAATACAAAAGTTGCCCCTCGCTCCTCTGCCCTAAATTTCACAAGCAGCGCCGTGCAGACCACTTATCCAGAATCAGCTATTTTCCAAATTCACAAACCAAACAACTAAACAGTTTATCTAACAAAGATGATCATTTATTCAGAATGAACTGTTTTCCAAAAGCACAAACAAAACAGTCAAACAGCTTATCCGGATCAGCTGTTCATCAGCAACTTATATGAATAAGCTGAATCAGCTGCCCCAAACAAACCGTTAATTATTATTACTTATTTTAATCATTTTGTCATATTAAATTCTCTTAAACTTGAATATTTATTGAAAATCAATGTGGAAATAAAAAACATTAATTTAAATCTTACAAAAATTGCCGACAAGAGGAGTGATTAAATTTTTATTTTATGTCGAATTTATTTAACTCATCAATCATCAATGCATATTATGTTATATTTCCTTCTTATTTAATTAGATTAAAAGAGTTTATTCGCCGTTCTGCAGTGCCACGTGCACTCCGTGTGGCCGTTGGTCATAAAAGGGGGTCATGTGTTCACTTTTCAAGAAGGTTTTGGGCAAAATAGCTGATCTCATTTTTGTCTGATTTTGATTTAGACCCTTCGGGCATCCACTAATTTCTTATATATTTACATGTAAGATGAAATGTATGTAAAAATTAAAATTTTGATAATGGATATGTAAATGTATAGGAATTGAGTGATTTGTATGTAAATTTTTCTTTTTATAGCATGAGCAAGGTGTCACCTCCCAAAAGAGCCCTTAAGAGAAGTGGACAACACATGACTTAAATACTGTTTTTCCGCTCTACATCTAGCCGAGATGAGACTTTGTTCATGACATTCTTCTCCACCTAATCACGTGACGCCCTCATCACGAATCGGCTCCACCTAGGGTCCTACTGGACCATGGAGAGTCCACACACCTGACAGACAGTAATCTGCTTTGACACCACTTGTCACCTCCCAAAAGAACCCTTAAGAGAGGTGGGCAGCCCATGACTTAAATACTGTTTTTCGGCCCTACACCTAGCCGATGTGGGACTATTTGCCCGTGACAAAGGACTTATTTTTAAGGAGAATTTAGGCACATCACATAATTCTTGTGTATTTATATATCTAACAACTAAACTTTTAATAATTATATGCCTACCATTCAAGACAAAAAGTATTACTATTATTTATTTTTTAGATATAAAATACACTTCTTATGCATACATTTTAGCATATATTCATGATACCTAAACATTATAATTATAAATATTAAAGTTTAGGTGTTATATATATAAATACATAAAATTTGTGTTATAAGCATGCAAAATTTCCCTCTTTTCAAGTGCTGTTTAAAACATATTTTAAAAGTGAAAGACTTTATTTTCCCTAATTTCTTTTAAGAAAAATTTAAATTTTACAGTCAACCAAAAAATTAAGAAAAAAAAAATTTACATACATACCACTCTAAATCTTTAAAATCATTTTGACATAAGTTTAATATGCAAAGAATCAATCAATTTACATCAATTTTAGATTCATTTCAAGGTCCCTATTATCAAGAAACAAGCCCATACCATAAACGACTAGCAATAACTTCAAAAGTAAAACTTTGGACAGGGAAATGCAGTGGATATTTACATACATAACACAAATTTCTTATATATTTACAGATCTAGCACCCAAACTTCACAGAATGCTTACATATTTACATATCTAACGCCCAAAGTTTCATACCCACACTTATGACACCTTGATACATAAAACCATGCATGAAAAAGTATATCTCACTGTTAAAAAGCTAATTATGGTGACGTTTTTAATGTGATGTTCGTATTTTAAATGGCATGCATGTAAAAATGAATGTTTAGGTGTTAGATGCGTAAATACATAAGAATTGTGTGGTATCCATGTAAATGCCCCAAAATAATACAAGTCCACCATTCAAATGAAACAGATATTCATTTTCACATTCAAAGCCAGCTTATCCGATGGAAGAAATTTGTATCTGAAACAAACTTTAGCTCATGAACATCATACAATTACATTCCCTTTCGTCCCAAAGTAATGGTCATGTGAAATATTCCCATCATCGCAATATATATATATATAAAACATATTCAAGAGATTCAAATTACATTAAAGAATCTCCATAAATGAGTTACACAGCTCAAGAAGTGGTCGGCGGGGCGGGGGCGGGTGTGGTAGGTTGAGCCGAGGCCGTCATAGAGCCCCTCACCGGTGAGGGCGCAGCAGGCCTGTATGTGCCAGTCGTGTTTCTTTATGCTATGGATGGAAAGAGCGTCCGTGATCTCAGCTGGAGACATCGCCTCCTTGAGGTCCTGCTTGTTTGCGAAGACGAGCACGACCGAATGCTCGAGGTCATCGTGTTGTAGCAGTCGGAACAGCTCTTCCTTCATGATTGAGATCCGCGCTCGGTCTGTGCTGTCGATCACTACGATCACGGCGTGAGTGCCTCGGAAGTATGTTGCCCACGATGTTCTTAGCCTATCTTGCCCGCCGAGATCCCACACCTAGGTTTGAGTTGAGAGAAAAAATGAAGCGTAGGAAAGAATTTGTTCATGCGTGATTTGCTTTAATCTAATACTCAGATATGTTGTTTTTGCTTTAATCTAATACTTCTAAACTGTGTGATTTCTTCGCTCTCATGTTCTTGTCAGCTTAGATTTAAACATCTAGTATATTTGATGCGCTTTTAGCCTTAAAGCAAGGTAAAGATCACCATACTCTATGGTAAGTTAATAAACCGAGGACAAAAATAGACAATTAGATAATTCTTGATCAAGCTATGTGCAAAAAACTTTATTCGCATCAAGTGTCTCAACATTCATGCACCCCTCTAAATCACTTTAGCTTTAAAAGTTGAGATTGCAAAAATAATATTTTACTTAATTAACTACATAATCAGCACAGTTCCATTCAAAAAAAAAGCAGCCCGTAGCAGAGACTGGCTGGGCCCCTCCTTCCGCCGGCCAC